CAAGGGGTATTTATTTCCGGAGTGCAGCCATTCACAAAGTAGCTGGCCCTGAGGAGCTCAGTCTGGAGAGCAGATACGGATGCTAAGATATCTCTGACTTGGCAAGAACTGGAAAACCACTCTGGGTCCCAGGGAACACAAACGGGGGTGGGGTGGAGAGGAAGGAGCCGGAGGAAGGCTGCTTTCTGCGCCGGGGGTGGGGTGAGGGCTCCTGGGAAGTTATTCCTGGGCTGGCGCCGAGATAAGACAGCAACAGAACTGACCACAGGCTCTTGGCTGTTTGTTTGTAGGACTTACTGTGTACCAGGCACTAAGTACTTCATAAGATACGAACTCATTTGATCCTCAGGCCACCCTATGAGTTAGGTATGATATTCTCTTTTTCTAAGTAAGGAAACTGAGGCACAGAGTCTTCTTAGAGCATCTGGGAAAGTGACCAGACAGAGGCATCCAGACCACCGGTGTGCTGAGTCAGACTCGTCTCCTGGTGCAAGGGCTGGATTCGGAAGCCTCTCCGGGCCCGGCGCCTGCATCAAGCCTGAGAGAAGAGGCCTCTTTACAGCACTCAAATCTTTGCTATGGTGAATCTAGCGCAGAGATGAGAGACTGGGCTAACCAAGTGTCTCTCAGTGACAGAACAGGAAGTAGGAACTGTCTCTAGAATGCTCTAGGGCTCATAAGAACTTGTTAAGAATTTATCCTCCCCCAGACTCGTTGGCCAAACGTGCTGTGCCGAGCGCTGAACCCTCCTCCAGGGATGGTCAGTTTGCTGTGGCGCTCACACTGGGGCATTTGTTCACAGCCACCCGGGGGATAGCACGCAGTGCTCATGGGCCAGGGATTGTGCAGGCGGGAGTGAAGCCAGGCGCGGACGGAGGCTCGGGAAGAGGCCCACACGGGGATGAGCCTGTGACAGAGGAAGGATGGGGTGCGGCCAGCCAGCACGAGGGTGTGTGAGCAGCAAAGAGTCCGGCAGGTGCCTGGAGCCCGGCTGGCCGCACAGGGACTGCGGGCGCCCCTCTCAGACTCAGCCGCCAGCCTCCAGAGATGCAGACGTCAAGGGAAGCACGGCTGACCCAGGCCAGAGCCTTTGCCTGGTCTCACTTGCTAGTTTATAAAACATAAGAGGAAGGCTTTCCCAAAACAGCTGTGTTTCATGGCAAATAAGATTAGAAAAGTCGAGAATCATCACATAGTAACAACCGCCATTTTTAATGAGCACCTCTCACGCACCTACTACCACCAGGCGCCGTACAAATGGTATCTGGAATCCTCATGACGATTCTGTGAGGCAGCTGTCTCCTTCATTTGGACAGAAGGGGAAACTGAGGCTCAGATTAAGTAAATTGCCCTACATCACACAGAAAGAGGCAGGACCAGGATTTCACACAAAAACCTATCCTCTTATCCATTTGGGCAAACTTCTAGGCAAGTCCACAGTTCTGAGACAGCTGCCCTGAGCATGTTGACCGCCAGCGATTTGCTCTGGACGCTGGAAAGAGGGTAGAGCCTCCTCCAGGAGGAGCCCAGGCTCTCAGCTAGGCCAGGAATAGCATGTGACACATTCAGAAGTCGGCCTCTGATTCTCGGCTCTGTCTTGGTCCATAAATTCATGTGTACCTTCACAGGCTCGTTGCTATAAGCCCAGGCTCCTTTTTGTGCATCTGAGTCTGGTGATCTGACTGCTGGGCCCTGGTGATACAGCCTTGGCCAGAGCAAAGGGAACTCCCCCAGCAGCAAGGGGAGAGGGCACTGGAGCCAGGAAGACCAGACCTGGGATCATTTCTGGAGCTGCTGTCCCTTAGCTTTGCAACCTTGGGCAAGTCCCCAACCCCCCTGAGTCTCAGACACCTTTGAGGATAACGCACGGATAAGATCTCTGACCCCCTCGGCTCCTCTGAGGCTTGAGTGAGATCAAATACACTAAGTGCCTGGCACACTCCTGCCGTGCTGTGGGGTCCCTCCTTTGCACCTTAGCAGTTGGAGGTGAGCCCTGGATCTCTCAAGGGTGCCTACCCCGGGACTGATGGAGGACTCAGAAGGTGCAGCTTAGGAGGGAACTTTAGACCTGGCTCCTTAGCACGGATGTATTAAGCACCAGCTCTGTGAAAAACACCACTACCAAGGACAAAAACACAGCTCGTGCCCCTGAGGACTGCAAGGGTCAGGCCACATTCTTCAAGTCTAGAAGGAGAGAAGGGGCAGGTGGACAAGTGGAGTGGCCAAAGCGAGATGAGCAGGAAAGGGACAGGGAGAGAGCTCTTCGCCGCTAGCATTCCTCCTCCACTCCTGCTCCTCCACTTCCTTCTTCCGCTCCTGCTCCATCCCTGCTCCTCCTCTTCCCTCCCCACTCCTGCTCTGTCCCTGCTCCTCCTCTTCCCTCCCTACTCCTGCTCTGTCTCTGCTCCTCCTCTTCCCTCCTCTACTCCTGCTCTGTCTCCTGCTCCTCCTCTTCCCTCCTCCGCTCCTGCTCCATCCCTGCTCCTCCTCTTCCCTCCTCCACTCCTGCTCTGTCTCTGCTCCTCCTCTTCCCGCCTCCACTCCTGCTCCATCCCTGCTCCTTCTGTTCTCCTCTGCTCCTGCTCCATCCCTGCTCCTCCTCTCCCCTCCTCTGCTCCTGCTCCTCCTCTTCCAGTGCACCGTCCACAGCCATCAACAGGACAGTATTTGTTTCATGCAGGTGCAGCTCATTATGCCAGCGATGCTCCTCTCCTGGCCTCCCAACATGCGTGCAAGAGGCTCAGGCCACATTCCGTCATGACGGAGGGCCCCGGCTTTAGAGTAGGACACTTGAGTTTGAACCCCAGGTCTACAATGAGCTGCCTGACCCAGGTGTGTTGCTGAGCCTCTCTAAGCTTCTGACTTCTTCTTGTGTGTGATTGAGCTGGTCACCAATCTTTACCTTGGGGAACTACCACAAGGAGTAAAGGAGAAGGTACCAGAGAAGCTTTCACCTCAGTGTCTGGCCCATAATGAATGTTCAACTCTTGTACATTGTTGTTGACATTATAGTTCATTCTTGAACCAGGTTGCCTGGATTGGAAGCCCCTGGCTCTGCTGCTTATGAGCTGCGTAACTTTAGGTAAGTAACTTAACCTCTCTGAGCCCCAGTTTCCTCCCTAGAGTTTAATTGTCTGTATTGCTGGCATTCAATGAGGGGGTCTTTTTCATTTTATTTTATTCTCTAAACTTCTACAGAATTGTCATGAGAATTAAATGAAATATATATTTATATTATAATACATTATATTATGTATATTCCTTAGACTATAGCCTGGCATATAGAAAGCACTATATAAATGTATGCTATCATTATTGTTTTAATTCATCCAGATCATTTAATCAAGAAACGTGAATTTAACACCTGCTAAGTTCCAGGCAGTGAAGAAACCAAACTGTGCTTGCCCTCATGGAGCTTACATCTGAGTGGGAAAACAGATGATAAACAAAATAGGATGCTGGGAAAGCAGGAAAGGGTACAAGGCATGCTGAAGGTGGAAATGGGGGTTTTATGCTTACATAGGAGACCTTTTGAGTAAAGGCCTAAAGGAGGCAGACATGCAAGCTGTGCAGGTGTCAGGGAGAAGTTCACCCCAGGGCAGTCATAAGAGGTCAGAACTGCTAAGGAGACCAGTCCTGCCATCAGCCAGCCGGCTCAGGATGGATGTCCATCCAAGGTGGCCTTGGAAAGGTCGAGTCCTCTGCCAAGAGCCTTGCTTCCTCTGAATAGCTTAGTAAGCCCATTAAAGCATAACATTGGAGAGTTTTTCCAACGCTACGTCAGTTTACATGCGTGCATACCCACAGAGTGCAAAGCCCTAAGGCAAGAACACACTTGGTGTGTCTGAGGAACACAAAGCAGCCTGTCGAAGTGCCAGGCAGCAGCAGGGGTCAGCTCCAGCCAACAGGGAAGGGAGCTGGGGAGGCAGTGTGTGCAGCTAATAGGGCTCCAGAGGTCATCGCAATGACCTGGCTTTTCAATGATCACACACAGTAGATAGTATAGGGCCAGGATCCACATTACAGACAGCTAAGGATCAAAGAAATTTAGTGGTCTTCCCCAGGCAATTCGTGGCAGGAGAAGCCTGGAAGCCAGGCACCACAGTCCCCGAAACCCTTCACCTCACTTGATGCTCACAGCAGCACTTTGAGACTTTGCAGAAGAGGACACTGAGACTTAGAGACATTAAGTAATTTGTTCAAAGTCACATAGGGTTGGAATCAGGTCCGTCTGACTTCAGAGGTCCCACTCGGTCCACTGAAGCATGCTCTGGGAAATCTTTCCCAGGTGGGAATAAAGGAAGGATGCTGGAGCCAGTCAGTTACAGTATAAATACTGACCCAGGAGAATGCATAGGCAGCACTTATTCCAGCACCTGGAGCACGGCAGATGCTCCATGCTAAGTGTCAGTTGTTATTGTCGTTAACTGTCTGAGGAACGTCCATCGCGAAGCTGGTGCTCAGTTTGGGCTCTCTCCCCTGTAGCCTGGGCCAGAGCCCTTCTGCCCAGCATACCCCATGCCTTGTGCTGTGTTTGTTCAGCTTTGTCACCAGGACAACCATCCCTCTCTCTAGCCCAACACATATACCCATGGAGGATGAATTTAGGGTCAAAGATGTATCTAGGTCGGGAACAGTAAGAAACGACAGAGAGAGAAAAAGAATAGGTCAGAGAGACAGAGAGAAAAGAAAGGGACACAGAGCATGAGGGGAGATCAGAAATAGAGTGACGTCAAGGTGCTGGTGGTCAGAAGCTGTACGTCCACCTTCTTGATCGTTATGTGGGAAAACAGGGGCTGGATGGAGACCTTAGAGACCCAGTTTGGAACCCTTGTCTGCACTAACTCAGTTTGAGACTCAGAGTAAATTCTTAGCCTTCTCCAGGCCTCAATTTCCCCATCTATTTATGTTCTTGAAGGCCCCTTTCATCTCTGATAGTCACTATTTACGATTCCTTGACTGACCCTCCCTGAATCAGAAGACACTTCCACTAATCGGGAAAGAAGAGAGTTTATTCAGAAAAGTCGGTCGGTACAATATGCACTGCAGGATATCTCTTGGCTCCCATCACAGCCATGGGATCAACAACCTCACAGGAAATGAGGGGAAGCCAACTTTTCCCTCCAGGGTGGCCTGGACGCAGGACCTTTCAACAGACGTGTTTTATTGCAAATATGACAGTAGGCGATTTGGCTACTTTCAGCGAGGCAGCTGCAGGGTGACAGCTGCTCACACCTAGCTTTTCCCCTCCAATAGCTCATCCCAGAAAAGAGAATTCCAAATCAGCAGAGAGGTTTCCTCAAAAAGGCCCTTATTTGCATAAAATTGGGGCCTCCTGCACCGCCCTCCCCTTCCCATTGGGCTAGCTCCCCAGGAAGCCTCGCAGGGGCTGTTCCTCCCTGGCTGATTAGGTTCCTTGTCATCAGATGGAGGAACTTCCTTGATGGTTCTTGCCAAGCCAGGCTAGAAAGACGTCAAGCTCTCCCAGAGACTTAACGGCGGCAGATTGGGCCTCCAGCTGAAACCAGGAAATCGTCATAAGAGCCTGCCTTCCTAGTTGAGCCAGGGCTTTCGGCTCACTTTCCCCACATTCCAGTCCCCAGGAGGTTTTCTTTTTATTCATCAATTACATATGCAGAGCATACGAACCCAAAATTATTTTCATCACAGGCAACCCAAATTATTTTCCACACACAAGCAATTAAATCACATCAGCAACTTATAAACAAAATAAAAAATTCTTTGACCTTTGCTCTACGTTTTTCTTCTTCCTGTTTTTCACAGGAGAAAACAAACAAACAAACAAATCTGCCTTCCTGGCCAGTTCTGCTTATTTCGCTTCAGCACTTCTCTCTCCCAGGAGGTCTCCCTCCCGTGGCAGCGGCAGGGAGAGCGTGCTGTCCCCATTTCCGTATGAAAGCACCGAAGACCCTAAGGAGAAGCGGCCTCCCCAACGTCACACAGCAGAGCCGGAGCGAGAGCCCGAGCGCCCCGACAGATTCCACCTCTTCCTCAGCCGGCTAGACGATGGGAAGACCCAAAGCAACGTTCCCCGGAGCCCGGAGGCGGGGATGGCGTCCTACCTCCACCACTTAGTGGCGGTGCGACTTTAGTCCAGTTCCTTAACCTATTTGTGCCTCGGTTTCCTAACTTATCAAATGCAGATAATGGCTCGTAGTAGGGTTGTGGGAAACAACTGTGCTAACCCCTGTAGTGTGCTTAGAGCCATTCCCCGCTCACAGCCAGAGCAGCGCGGGTCTTAGCCCTGGTTCTCGCGCCGTCCGGGGTCCCTGCAGAGAAGCAGAGCTCCCAGCAGACGCCCTTGCCCTTCAGAGCGCTGGCGTCACTTGAGAGTGTGGTGGAAATGCAGAAGCTCAGGCCTCATCCAGACCTAGTGGGTCAGAATCTGCATTTTCACAGGATCTCCAAATGAAGTCGTAAGAGCACGGCCTCTGCCTCCACCGCCGCTTGAGCCGTGCCTGTCCCAGCGACCCCTACGCAAGAAGCACCCTTACCCGCCGCCTGCGGCGATGCTGGGGCGGTCGTCGGCCCAGCGGGTCACGGTTCATGCACGACAGCTTACAATTCACTGGGGATCTTCGCTCCCTCTGGGTCACCCCATCTTAAACGGCACGTGCTTCCCCTCAAAACTTAGCTCAGGTTAGGGCATAGGAAAATGGTGGAGGGATGAGGGGAGCCCAGGAAATTAGCAAAAGAGGTAAGACCAGCGCCCTCTTCACAGACACAGAGAATCAGGAAGGCTGCCACAAACGTTTGTCGAGGAAAGGGCAGAATTCAGGGGAGAGGAGCCTGAAGGGTGAGCGCTTCCCAGCCAGGCTCCCATCTCACCTCCGTCTCCCCGCCCTCACCTGACTGTAGTTGTCGTGGATGGTTCTGGTTGCGTTGGTGGCTTCCTGCCTGCAGTGACACGGCCTCTGCTCCTGTGTGAGAAGGTGGGGTCAGCGCCCATCAGAGGACATCTCCGCCCACCCCCTCCCCCCCACTCTTCCCACCAGTCTCCCCTCCCCCCCCACCCCCTCCCCCCCACTCTTCCCACCAGTCTCCCCTCCCCCCCCACCCCCCACCCCCCACTCCCCCCACCCCCCCACCCCCCCCACCCCCGCCCCGGAAAGCCAGGTGAGTAATCTGGGGTTGGAGCAGCAGGGATCTGTGTGCAGGGTCACCCTGTGTTTGAGCAGGGCGTTTGCTTTTTCTGGGTTTACAGCTCACCAGACGGGAAAGGGGGTGCGCCATCTGTCCTGTTATCACTCCATGAATGCAGCACCCCGTGAGAGAGGCACTCATAAATATTTGTTGGGTTAGTTAGTTAAATAGTTGGTTAAATACATCTTAATGTAAGCGGGACAAGGATCATGACCTCCTCTAACAATTTTAGAATGGGAAGCACAGAGAGGTGAAGTAACTTGCCACAAAGTCACACAGGAAATTATTGGCAGGGATGGGGGTAGAACCCAGGATGTCTCCTGGTCTAAGTTTTTGTTGGCCTGTTTGGATTTGGTTTTATTTCTGATGTTTGTTTTGAATAGATGGCAGTGAATTTATAGGTGACTCTTAGGGATAGGTTATCCCAGGGAGCCACCCAGAGGTTACCAGGTATAAAACCTCAAAGGGCCAGAAACGAAGAAACTAGGGGGATGCTTATGATAAGCCTGCAATCCTTGGCATGCCTCTCCAACAGGCCAGCCCTGGGATCACCTAAGGGATGCTTTGACACACGTGGTCACCCCAGGAGGATTATTTATGAGGAAACCAGGTCTGACGAAGTGTCAGAGAGGAAGCTCCGGGGAAAGAGTGACCACTGGAAGAGGTTCTCGACAGTTCTCCCCATGAACGACAGGCAGGGAATTTCCTTAGACTCCAGGAACCACTTCAGAAGGCTGACCAGGGCCAGCATGCCCTGGCTCTCCCCGGGGCAGCCAGGGAACAGATGCCCAGAGTCCTTATGTGGTGACACACACATTGCTGCAGAGTCTTCCACATGGAGAGAAAAGAGTTGGCAATGCTGCTGATTTTTCTCAAGATTTGGGGGTTCAGCCCCTGATGGTCCTTGAACACCCTGTCCATGTAAAACGCCAGCAGGTTCTGGGTCATGCAGCACACGTCTAGGGGCTACAGACACAAATTAGAGAAGGCCCTGGAGAGCCTTGTCCCTTACCATCTTAGACCAGAGCAGGCTATGTGAGTGGGGGCAGCAAGGAGTGAGAAAACTGAAAGTCCTTTTTTAAAATTCATATTGGTCTCAGAGTGTCCATCTCCTCTTACTGCATCAAAGCTACTTAAGACAAAGGCACTGAGGGGAGATTGCAGTGCACTCCCTTTTGATATGGCCAGGAGATAGATTAACAAGGGGTTGAGCCCAGTCATAGACTAGAATTCTCTCTAGAGCATCCCCAATACGTCATCACTAACTTCTGCTCAAACCCTTCCAAGAATCAAGCATCTCCCTCTTGAGAGGACCAGTGTCTGAGCAGCTTTCTTGAAAAGGACTTTCTAACATTGTGCTAAAGTCTGCCTCCCTGTGACGTCTCCCATCCATCAGCACGTCTCCCTGCCATCCATTCTATGGCGATTGCATGCCAGGCGTGTGCTGGGCACCTATCCCTTCCATTGTGATGACGCTGTGTTTATCCTGGCCCCCCTGCTCTGCTCTCCTCCTGGCTGTCCTGTTTAAACTGCAGAGATCATTTGGATGGAGCTGAGATTTGCAAGGATGGAAACGGACAGCTGCAGAAATGTGTGCATCTGGGCAGGTCTGTAGCCAGCAGAGTGCAGATCTCTCTAAGGCGAGCTCCTGAGTTCCCAGCTCAGAGCAGCTGGCAGGCTGCGTGTCCTTCTGGCAGTTTGCACCTCACCCTGAGAGCCAGTGAGTTACTCCGCAGGAGATTTCTAGTTCTCTGTGAGAAGGGAAAGTCCACAGCAGGACGTGCACCCGTCTTCACCAGCATTAAAGCAGCAAGCCTCCTCGGCCCTGCAGGCAGCTTCTCCTAGATGGCAGACTCTTCTTGCAACACAAAACCCGTCTTTGCCTCCGCTCCTGCTGGTTCCCTTAACCAAAGGGGCAAAAAGTTGCGTACTGTTTTATAAGGGAGGAAGGAAGCGCGATGGAGGCCGGCCTCCTCATCAACCCTTCCCTTGTGCCGCATCAGCTACCTCTAGACCTTGAGAGGAGAAAGAAATCTGGAGACACAGGCATGAGACTTGGGGGTCTACTCCTGCCTCAATGACTAACTCATCCTTCTCCCTCCTAAGGCTATCGATTTGCTCATTTGAAAAAGATAGTTTTGGAATAGATAGCCTCTCGGGCCCCTTCCAGCTGGATGTCCTATGGCTCTCATAGATAGTTGGCTGGAATAGTATTTATTGTTTTTTGGGGGTTTTGGGGTTTTTTTGAGGAAGATTAGTCCTGAGCTAACATCTGCTGCCAATCCTCCTCTTTTTGCTGAGGAAGACTGGCCCTGAGCTAAAATCCGTGCCCATCTTCCTCTACTTTATATGTGGGATGCCCACCACAGCGTGGCTTGCCAAGCGGTGCCATGTCCGCACCCGGGATCCAAACCAGCGAACCTGGGTCGCTGAAGCGGAATGTGCACACTTAACCACTGCGCCATTGGGCCAGCCCCTGGAAGAGTATTTAGTAAGTGATTACATCTGTTTACCACAAATAAATCAGGCCCAATACTGCCTACAAGTATTAATTTGTGCAGAGAAGCCCAAGGAAAAAGTACCTCATTGCAGATACACCTTACACTTTGTCTCATAAATACCTGAAAAAGCTGGATCTTTCTGGAATGTTTACCAGGACTGGAGGAGCTCACATGTAAAGGCACTTCTCAGTGGCCCCATCTGTGAAGTGAACTATCACCTCGTGTGTAAGTCAACTGCTCCGGAACGCGGTCACTCTTACTGCCTCTCGTCTGGACAATTGGACTGGTCACTACCTTTCCTGCCTCAGGTTGTCCACTGTAAAGAGCGTCACCAGACTGTTTTCCTACAAGATTTTGTGTCAAAAAGGCTTTAGCTCAAAAATCCACAGTGACTCCCTATCGCCTGTGTTACAAGGCTGAGAGTCAGCCTGGCTTTCAAGCTTCCTGGTAAAATGCCTCCAGCGTCTTTCCACCTCGGCCTCTCCCACTCACCTTCGTGTCCCTCACGCCACCAGCCTGGTTGCCTCGCTGTGCCCCGACACACATTCCTTGGCCTCGCACACATTCTCGCATGTTCCCCACACCCCTCCCTTCCCTTTATCCACTCACCCGCAGCCTCTCAGCTTGTAAGTCACTGCTCATTTTCTCAGCCTCCCCATGAAACCTTCCAGAACCACCCTGAGCCACAGACATCCTGCTGCATTTGAGTGTGTGGCACCCCCAATCACTCTCCAGGGATGTGACATTTCTTGAACCCCCCTCCCCCCAGAGGTTTCGAAGTCCCTGAGACACGAGTGTGCCCTACCACATCAGTGAACAAATGAGAAGCCTGGGGCATGTAGATGACACTGGAGATGAGGGAAGAGAAGACAGGGGAGAGATTTCTTGCCCAGCCAAGGGCCACTGCACTGTAAAATAACACAGGAAAGAGCAGGCAGGCCAATACCTTAATGCGGTGCAGGGTCTCCAATGCGGACAGGATGGTGACATTTTGGAAGGCGTCCTTAGCTTGCTATGGAGGGAAACATAGCGACAGACACGGCAATGAGTACTCCACATCCCCCTGAGACACAAAGACAATTAGAAGAAATTTGCTCTCCAGGTTGAAGTGTAGGATGAGGCACGCCCCCTGCCCACACCTTCATCCCAATCCTGTTCTCACGATGGCTCTTCTGATTGCTCAGAAGCTCTCTCCAGCGCGGTGCACGTCCGTGGAAATCAGACATTTTCTGAGGCCTCGGGCGTGCACGGAGCACTGCAGGAGCATGGCGCCCAGGAGCCAGAGGGGCACACGCTGTGCCTTCATGTCCTGCAGGGAGGGTTGGGAGGCAGCTGTCAGCCAAGAGCGGAGAGCAGTGAGAGACCCCTGACTGAGCTCCCCTTGGTACCTGGAAGAGCAGGCAGACGGCCACCAAGAGAACAGACTCGGCGCCTCGGCCTGCGGAGGCCAGGGCATGCGTCTCCTCCTCCGCTTCTTGAATCAACTGAAGGCAAGGACTCCCCCTCCTCGCTTCGCCCCCCCTAGCTGTGCTCTCTCAAGTCCCAGGGAGTATATCTGTGTGTATATCTCTCTACTATGACTCAACACAGCTCACTTTGTCAACAGGGGTTGAGAAGCATTGTTTTTTAATAAATTAAATAGGAAAAATGGAGTTGGTAACATGTCCTAGGAATTAGGCAACGAATCTGAAATATCATAAAAGCACATTTGGTTTTTTATGTTTGCCCCCAAAATAGGCGACACCCTTTTATTATAATCCCCTTATGTGTATTTGCTTAAAATCATTTGTTTGAAGCCAACTCTAAGATGTCACCTTCTGCGGAAGACAGGAAAGGGAGGCGCAAGGCATCTCCAATGACTAATCAGCCAGAGTCAGGAGAGACCGCTGCAGAGGGCAAGCCGGCCGCTTGCTCTGTCAAGCACTGAACCAGGGGCCCTGAGAGACAGCTGGCCAGCCAGTCCCTAGGCAGGGCCAGACCCAGAAGGGCTTGCTGCCTCTTCTGATTCTCTCATCTTTCCTGCCTCTGTGTTTCTCTCTGCCTCTTTCATTTAACCATGTAAATAGGGGCATGTAACACACACTGAGAAAAGTGCACAAAATGTACTTGTCGTGCAGCTTGTCGAGTCCTCTTGCTCTGACTTTTCCCAGCACTAGCATATGTTGCAGACACAGAGCTTACCCTGAAAGATAAATCTTGAGACAGTGCCTGTGAAGAGACCACCCTCTGCCCAGCATCCTCCACGGTACCCCCCGAACGCTCTCACCTCCAGCCATGTGCGTGCTGGGTAAGTGCAGCGCGCGGCAGTGGAGGAGAGGGAGGCACCAAACACAGGAAGCCAGCTGACCACCCCAGCTCCTAAGTATGGCTATAACTGCTATAGTTATAAGGCACGTACGTGGGAGAGCGAACCACACTGTCCCCACTCCCACCACCATGCCCCGGATCTCCTGGGAGTCCCAGGCTCTTCTCCAGACACCCAAGAAACAGCAAATCCTGTTTAGAAGATGTTTTGCCTCATCTCTCCTTAACTCGGCATCATTCCAGTGAGTGGACAGGTATGTACTGAGACCTCACCATGGAGCAGCCATTATGCTAAAGAGCTCAATTTCTCTTTTTCCACTCTCTCTTTCTGGCAAAACGAGGGAATAGACCCCATTGGCGGGGAAGTCTGTAGACTCCTCCAAAGTTCTATCCCCGTTAAAGGCAACTGGGATGCTTCTAGAAAGCCAAGTGACTAGGAAGACTCACTTTTCCTAGTCTTCGAGCAAGATAATTCTCGGAAGCAGTGGGATGCTGCCTGCTTGTCCCGTGCCTGGGGCCTCAGACATTTTGTGCAGGAGAAGGATGCCTCCCTTAGTTTGGTGAGGCGATTCCAGACATTTTGGCCGATTCTGATACAGTGGCAGCTAACATTCATCATACACGCCACGTGCATATGTTAGGCACCGTGTCAAGCATTTTCCATAATTATCTCAGGTTCTATTTCTACCCCCATTTTAGCAAAAAGAGAGCTGATACTTAGAGAAGTGAAGGCACCTGCCCAAGGTACGTGGCCACCTAGTGGCAGAGCCAGGATTTGCAGGCAGGCAGCCTGGCCCTGGAGCCCGCCCTCCTGCCTGTTTCACTTACAGCGCTGCTGCCTCTGGGATCTCAGCTGGAGATCCCAGCAGATCCCCTTACACCAGACAGACAGGAACGCATTTCTGATCAGGTCCCACCATACCAGTGGTGCTCCCTACATTTAAAAAAATATTTGACACTGCAAATGATTAAAGAAAGATATAATGTGCCCAGCACAATTTCTACAAGAGAAGGGTAATAGCAAATGTTAGATCCATTCCCCTTCACTTTCCTCCTTCCTTCCTTCCTTCCTCTCACCATCTCTTCTTACTGAGAATAAGGTACTAGAAAGTTTATCCTCTTTATGGAATACCCCTATCCATTCTACAAAATATCCAACGCCTGGGACATCGCAGGCCATACACAACGACAACAGGTCACCTCTGCAGCTGTGTAGGGTGAGGGCTAGAACAGGGAAGCCTCTGAAGAAGTCTGGAAGGAGCCTCACCTCTCACCGGGCGCTCCCAGCGGCTCCGGTGTCTTCTCTCTCCGAGTTCCTTGCCACTTAGAAAGGGCTGGTCACTTTTAAGCAGGTGGATAAGAGGAAATGCTGTCAAGGTTTACTGGGTGGGTCCCCCTTGAGAGGTTATTTTTCCCTCGTTTCCTTAGCACCTCATTCCTTCATTGTTTTCCTTTCTTTCTTCTTTGAGATATAGCTGACTAATCATTGTTAAGAAATACCTGTTTCTTCTGGGTCTTGAGCTGCAGCTTCTAAAACAAACTCCCCATTCCATGCAAATAAGAATTTCTTACAATTCTGTGTCTGCACAGAAAAATCTAAGTTAGGTCACTTTCCTGAGAGCTGAAGGCAAACTCAGGACGGCACTCCCCTGACAGCTTCACCTTGCCAGCAGCCAGCCCGAGATTCCCCAGGCGCCCCTGGCTCCAACGCACCCCATCACCTGAGGCCACATACAGCTTTCAAGCCCCCACCATGTGCCAGATGCTAGCTGCATGCGTTACCTGCACTATTTTGTCTGACTTCATGGGGAACATTTCTTTGTCTCAGGAAGGTGAGGATTTCTTTGGCCATCATCTTTCTCCTCTTCACTGTGTCCCTTGGACGGCCCTTTCGTTTTTGATTAATGCAGAGAGAGAAGATGAGGCTGGGAAGAAGTGGGCCTTGAGAGCGGCCAGTGGCAGAGCTGGGAACAGAGCCTGGCACCCTTGCTCTTATGCCAGAAGAATCTCTATCTAAATTACTTTTTTTACACAGTCTCTACATCATGAATTCTTCAAGGATCAGGGTTTGAGGTGATGGTGATGGAAAGATAGGGTGTAGAATGTTTCCTCCCCAAACACAAACTCCCCAAGTAAACAGAGCTTGTTTTTAACAAACGAAGCCACTCTGGGAAGGGGGTAATTACAAGAGACGCCATAAGCCACTGGGACGGCGGGCCGGTGGGACAGGCTGGAGCAGCCCCTGTCCTGCAGCCAGGCTGGGGAGACAGAGGGTGGGTAGGGCCCCCCGCAAAGAAGGAGGAGGACAGGGAGGGCTGGGGGCTTTTTATGGGCGTAGGTGCAGAGGAGGAGCCCCAGGCGCTGGAAGGCTGTGGTCCAACATCTTGGCCAGAATGAATAGTACTCATTGAGAGGAGCAGTAGATTGTAGTAGTGGTTACAATGTAGCTCTGGATTTCAACTCAGGCTCTCCCTCGCTGTGAGACACTCCACAAGCTACTTAAGACCTTTCAGAAGCCCCATGAAATAGGTAAAAGAAAGTGAGGATTCGAATGAGTTAATGGGCTTAAGTACTCAATAAATATTATCTATTCTGATGCTGTGTGCCAGGCACCTGGAAAAGAAGACATCTTTGTTAGGAGTTCATAGGTGTCTCCCCCTCCTTCTGGGGAGAGGAGAAAGAGTTACTCTTGAGTCCAGAGATCTCTCCCACCCCCGCCCTGCTTCCTGGGGAGGGGATGAGGCAGGGGAGGTGGGTGCTGTTTTCCCAGCACCGCCTGAGCTGCCTGGCTCATAGGTCACAGATGGTGGCCCAGCCCCACATGTGAGATGATTGCAAAACTGTCCCTGCTGACTCTCACCTGGCATCCATCCCCTGGTGCTCAGACTGTATGTTCTGATCCAGTTTTCATCTCCGGGCAAAGATGTCATGTCAGGAAACTTGCAGCGCAAGGAAAATACGTGACGTGTTTATAGCTCCTCTCCAGCATGCAGTGTATCGTGGTGGCCGGGCCTATAGCTCTGGAGTCGGCCCAGCCGAAGCTGCCTGCCTCTGCTCTTGGGGCTGTCAGACTGAAAGCAGCCAGTTCATCTCTGTGCCTCTGTTTATTCGTCTGTAAAATAGTGCTAATCATGCCTACTGAATATTCACCATGAAGGCGTGGCATATTGATTAAATGATTAAACGTAAGACCTCAGCACTGTGCCTGGCACATAATGAGAGATTAGAAAATCACAACCTTTGTAATTAATTTTACAGCCCCATTTTGAGCCCTAAATTGAGAGGAAGGAGGGACAAGAAGAAATGATTTCCTCCATCCTAAGCCTTGCTGCTAACATTTAATATAAAAAATAATGATACAGATTGAGATGGAATGGCATCCCTCCCAGGATTGCAGTCAAACTACGGATTTGATCTACAGATGTAGGGTTATGTCAAGCAATCGGTCTTCTAGAGCCAGTTGACCCCCCCATTGGGATACCAGAGCTCAATTTTCCCTGTGTTAAGTGGGGAAGCAGAAAGAATGTGAAGGAAGACTAAAGAGCCAGAATGGAGAATGCTCTGAGTCTGACATGTGCTGGACACAACTGTCTCACACTTTCCAATCCCCTAGCCCCACCCACTATCCACACCAACTTCACGAACCGTTCGTGGTCATGCCAAGCAATTTTCTCTCCATAAAAGAGTGGAGCCTGCCCCCTCCTAAGTGCTAAGTCCTGGAGCTCAGACTAAAAGTGAGCTAGGCATTGCACAACTCCAGAGGGCGCCACGCCCACGGCCTCCCATGGGAATGTGGCTCCATGGAGTTGAGGAAAATGTGGCCCTACTGAGTGATCTGGATGAAATGGATTAGGTCTATACGAATAATTTCAGTTAGATTTGAGGAAGAACCTATCATTGTGAGGACTATGTCGCAAGAAAGTACGATAGAGAAAGGATCTGTGAAAGAAAGAAATACTGAGACTGATGGATTATTTCATTTGGAAAGTAAGCAGAGACTTAAAAACAGAAAAAATATGAATATTTCAATGTCTTGGTAAATATGTCTGTATTGCAATGATACATTTGGAATTTCTATATAAGTTTGAAAATAAAGCAAAAAAAGATAAATTTCCCAGTTCTGGGGGGGCTTTAAACCTTAAAAATTTCTCCTCTGTCTGAGATTTAGAAATGAGAGTCATAAAAGAGATCAGCGGTCACTGAGTCCAACCATCCCGTTATAGCGATGGACAGACGGAGACTGAGTCCAACCATCCCGTTACAGCGATGGACAGACGGAGACGTGAACCAGCCCTCCCATCATCCACAAGGAAGGGGCACCCTGTTCTCAAACTGACGTCTTCTGGCTTCTGGCTCAGTGCCCCTTCTAGCCCATGCTGCCTTCCCATCCCAGGATCAGGTGGGGTGGAACAGAACACAAAGCTGTGGGGAACCTCAAGCCTGTTTAGCGGGGAAGGTGCAGCAACTCTCCTAAGACAAGTTTGGATTGCCTTCATGCCATCTGGCTTGCCTTCACCCAGGAAATCCATGGCCTGAGGAAACCCAAACTGGCCGCTCCCATGCTGGTGGGGAGGGAAGGACAAACCTTGTCCACATCTCCGACCTCATCCCTCTTGATGAGCCCGCACACCTTACTGCCCGCTCTTACCTGGAAAGCCCTCCACTGGCTTTTCTGCCTTGCAAACACCTACCCAACTTTCTAGATTCAGCTCCAGTGTGCCTTCCTTTGCGAAGTCTCGCTCTCTTCCTTTCCCCCCCCCCCCCCCCCCCCCGCCTCCCTACCTCCCCCTGGTGGAGTTGACTCCTGTTTCTTTCATATTCCCACTGGATGGATACAAGATGCCCAGTTAACTCTGAATTTCAGATAAACACATTTCCGTGCTTATTCATCTGAAATTCAAAGTTACCTAGGCGTCCTGTCTATTTCTTTGCTAAATCTGGTAGCCCTACGCTGGACCCTCTACAGACTTCAACCCCAGCCAGGGCCAGGGCCAGGACCAGCTCACATGGGGCCAGTAGCTCATGGGTTGCTCTTTAAGAAAAGGAATTTAAAAATGGAAGTACAAAATCAGAGACAAAGTGAATAGCTATTTAGAATGAGAAGTCAATCACCACAAATTACAAATTTTGAAAAGTTGACAAATACCACAAACA